ATCTTATATATGTAATATATCTATATATCTTATCTATATCTAACATTATTTAGGACTATCTATGTAACTATATATATCTAGTGTTATCTAACTATGTAAGTATTTTATATATTTCTCTATGTAACTTACTATCTAGCTATCTATTGATCTGTCTATCTACATTGATTCCCCACTAAGTACACAATCTGCTACAACACTACTAACTCTCAAAGCAACCAACGCAATAGCAACAAACCAATCTGCTCTGCAAAGACAGATTCAAATGAACGCCACTAAATAGGGATATCCTATCTCTGAACACACTATCCAGCAAAATGAGTCACATGACAAACCGAACCAATCAGCTGATTTGTATGACGTCAGAGGCACCCAACTGCTTCGGACGTCACTGAAGTTCTTCGAACGTCATTAGTCACGTGACCAAAACACGCCTCGGCACAGTGGTTCCATACAATTACCTCATGAGCTAGCGCGAATGTTTCGGAGCCTCGGGTGTCAGAGAACCATCACTAGCTACGGGCGCGCCCACTCATAAAGTGGGCGCAATAAATGGCTATGGCTGAATTTTGAGCTCGGCCCTGTTGTTGTTTTGAGCGAGCTGTAGCTGCCTGCTGTTTATCGCTAGTCGGTCCGTTAGCATGTACTGGCATCTCCGAAAACGTCAGCGCAACGTTGCATGATAAACTGGCCATATATTCTCAATCCAATGGTTACCTTCTCGCCTGAAAAAATATCAAAACGTTATAAAGTGGCATAAAACAGTTATAGAACAAAAAATATAGCAGCCTTGAGTCTGGCTCAAACTCCCACAGTGCATTCGGTGATGCTTGTCTTATTTGCTCCAAGTCACAGGTCTGGATGAACCGTCTGTGTGTGAGCGCAACATTAGGATCTCGGTTTTGTTTTCAAACCTGCCCGGAAGTCACCGATGGTTCAGCGCGCGGTAGCAGATAGCTTAATGTAAATAACGACGGAAACACCGTCCGTTTGTCAGAGATGGAGCAATACTGTAAACAACCGGGGATGGCTTTAAAACCAGAAATGAAGCCGCAAAGAACAGGTTTGTTTTCTTTTCCTGCTGCTGGAAGGCAGATTTAATACTGTCCGCCTAATGTGGCTAAGCTAACGTTAGGAGGGTATGGTCTGGTGAATTAGGGCAACTTGTTCGTTAGCTAAACCTTCAGTGTAGTGCCGTTTGTTAAGACGTTTAAACTCTGGGGTTTGTTGATGAATTTATTCTGCATCTGTCTGTTGGGATAAACTCAGCAAAGTCTCCCATTGGCCGAGAATCGAGCGTCCTATTCCGATGAAACTCTTAAGGTATGTTCACATTACAGCAGAAAAACGAGGGTCTTGCGCTACGTGTTCAGCGCTGGTCGGCGCCGACACTCACGTAGAAATGCCAGGGGGCGCTGTACAAAATGGCACAGCTATAATGCTAATGTTGCTAGCAGTAGACCACACTGTGTTTAACAGTCTTGGCACTAGCACGTGTTTGCTGATATTTCGCTAGCTAAACAGGCTGTCTGTCTTTATCTAACCTCTGGGTGTTCTCTGAGACCACTTGGATATGTGAATATGGAATCTGGTATGTAAAATATGAAGATTTAAAATAAAAAAGGGCATTTTTTTGATATATCATTGTTTTCATAAAAACATTTTTGTTGTAAATTAACTGTAATCGCACATAAAATAAAACACATATTAAACTTCAGTCCAAAAACTGTAACATAAATACAGTCATAAAATAAATGTATAATTATCATTGTGCTAGCATTACAGAACCCACAGGAATCAGAAATGTAATTTCTGTATTTTTTGAAGATTTGATTTGTTGGATAAATTGTGTATAATTTTAAAACGTGCTTCTTTCACTTTGTTTGTAGTAAAATATTTGTTATTATAAGACCAGATTAATTTCCAAATTTATATTTTTGAATTGAGCATTGACCCTAACCCCAAAATACCAATACCCCAGTTTTTGACTGCAACAACTCACTCATTTATGGAGGTGTGAGGAACATGAGGTGGAGTTTAATCAGTTGTCACAAAAGCTGGTTTTGTGTATGTGATGTTATTTTTATACAGCTTGCCCATATAAATCATAATGATCCTAAAGGTTATGCATTAATTAATGGTGTGGCTGCTTTAAGTGACAGGTGGGAGGGTTGCGCCACAGCTGGCTAGCTTCTTTAACATTTACCTTCTTTCTTTATTTATTTTTTTGTTGTCTAGTAGGTTCCACTCATGCTCCACCTCTTTGCCTATTCTTGGATTAGGCGTATCAGGCAGAGTGTAGCTCTATCAATATAACGGTAGCCAGATTTGAGCTTTCTTTAGAAAACCAATGGGTGATGTCATGGTGGGTTTGTTTGTCCCCAATCAGGGGGCCTGTACTTGGTTGTGCTTGTCCTCCAGGAGGTTCAAGGGGACCACTTAAGTGGTTCAAGTGGTCCTTTACTACGTATGTCCTAGAGGTCCTTATAGTGGGTTCTTGTGGACTTTTTAATTGGTGCATGGTTTGTTTGTAGACAGAATACAAGTACTTACATTTGAGTACTTACCTGTATTTAATAATAATGTATTTAATATGTATTTAATAATAATGCAGTACCGGTATATCTGATATAAAAGTTGCAATGAACACGAAACTGCAGTGATTTTAGAGACAGTTTTTATTTTCATGAGATTTACTTTGTGATTTAATAAAATACAACATGATGCTGCGCAAATTAAAATTTTGTGTGATAAACAGCGCTGCCACCAGTCCTGTTGAATACAATGTGTAACTGACTGAATATCTGTAGCCTACTACACATCAGACTGTAATACAGTGTTTTTAACCTTTTGTAGGAGTGTGACCTTCTGTTAGGATGAAATGATTTCATGATCCTGCCTAGAATTTCAAAGCTTAGCAGCCGTAATATCACATTCGACAGTTTAAATGTTTAACATAACGAGCTGCAGCTCAGGCTTTACACTGGCTGCTGTCTGTGGCTTTGTCCTGTCCTCTCTGCTGGACACATCCCTGCTCGGCTGTAGAGGAGCCGCTGGTTTCAGCTTCCACCTCCACAAGGGTTCAGCTCATCTTCATGCACATAGTTAATCAGACTCTGCCATGAACTACATAACATTAGTGTTTGATTTCTTTTTGTTTACAACAATCCACTACAGTTCTCATAATGAGCCCCTTTGGGTTTAGTGGGTGAACAGCACCAGAAGTTTTGACCGTGGGGAGAGTGAAGACGTTGCATTTCTGTAAGTTTGTTGCTGTGTTCTGCTTGTTCAGCAGGTGTTTCATTAATGACTCTCTTAGTTACTGTTGGTTTTGTTGCACGTATCGAGTGTTGTCTCTGTAAATGCGACCTCATGTCTATGAGACGGGGACGGAGGGGTGGTCACACACATTTTCTTGAACAGGTTTTATGAGGTTCTAGTGGCCCTTTAGGAGGCATTTGGTAGTGCTAAATGTATTAGACAAGGGTCCACAAATTGGAAGCTCTCAAGCTATGATGCCCTGTGGCCATTGATAAGGATTTAGGGGTCCTTGTGGTGCTTCTAATGTTCTTCTAGTGGTCACTGAAGAGACTCTGGGGCCTTCTTGGAAAGTCTAGTTCTTAATTCTAATAATTTTTATTTTTGTCATACAGTAATTTTTTTTTTGGTTTAGCTAGTTTAGCTCGAGGAGGTCTTATGGGTATTTTAGATGGTTCACTTAGTTCTTTATAGGGTTCTAAGGCTCTTAGGTGGTTCTTTTTTTCTTTATAGGCTTTATCAGATAACCACCTGATGTTTGTGTTTACTGTTTACAGATGTCCAGCTGTTGATGAGCAAAGACAATTTTTTTCCTGAATGGTGGAGCCCTGGCCTGGACCAGGACCCGGCAGAGCCCCCACACATTAAAGAGGAACAGGAGGAACTGTGGACCAGTCAGGAGGGAGAGCAGCTTCAGCGGCTGGAGGAGGCTGGTGTCACCAGCTTCCAATTCACCCCTGTCCCTGTGAACAGTGAAGATGATAAAGGTCCAGGTAAAACCTCTTGGATGTGTCGGTAAAAGTTGTAAAAAGAAAATATAGAACAGGCTGGCCAAATCATCGCAATTAAAGTTCAAGAGAACCTGATTTAGAGTAGAAGAAGCAGTCATGACCTTTTAGGCATTTAGGTTCAGATTTTTCAAGTCAAGAAACTTCCTGTGGGATTTGACTTTCATTTGTTGCTGATATGAATGTTGTTGAGACAACCAAAAGGAGTCTCCAAAGGTTAGGGTTCATGTTTTCTCTCAGCAGGTTCTTGTTAATCTTTGGGTGGTGCCTGTGGACAGTTAAGGCCTTTTCACACCGAACGCGACGCGAATAAGCGAGACGAAAAAGCGAAAAAAA